ATAAGTCTGTTGAGTATACCTGGTAAAGTGTATGGTAGAGTTATTATTGAAAGAATTAAGAGTAAGACGGAGAATAGGTTAGCAGATGAACAAGGAGGCTTTAGGAAAGGTAGGGGGTGTGTGGACCAGGTGTTTACAGTGAAACATATAAGTGAACAGTATTTAGATAAGGCTAAAGAGGTCTTTGTGGCATTTATGGATTTGGAAAAGGCGTATGACAGGGTGGATAGGGGGGCAATGTGACAGATGTTGCAGGTGTATGGTGTAGGAGGTAGGTTACTGAAAGCAGTGAAGAGTTTTTACGAGGATAGTGAGGCTCAAGTTAGAGTATGTAGGAAAGAGGGAAATTATTTCCCAGTAAAAGTAGGCCTTAGACAAGGATGTGTGATCTCACCATGGTTGTTTAATATATTTATAGATGGGGTTGTAAGAGAAGTAAATGCGAGGGTCTTGGCAAGAGGCGTGGAGTTAAAAGATAAAGAATCACACATAAAGTGGGAGTTGTCACAGTTGCTCTTTGCTGATGACACTGTGCTCTTGGGAGATTCTGAAGAGAAGTTGCAGAGATTGGTGGATGAATTTGGTAGGGGGTGTGCAAAAGAAGAAAATTAAAAGTGAATACAGGAAAGAGTAAGGTTATGAGGATAACAAAAAGTTTAAGGTTATGAGGATAACAAAAAGATTAGGTGATGAAAGATTGGATATCAGATTGGAGGGAGAGAGTATGGAGGAGGTGAATGTATTCAGATATTTGGGAGTGGACGTTTCAGCGGATGGGTCTATGAAAGATGAGGTGAATCATAGAATTGATGAGGGGAAAAGGGTGAGTGGTGCACTTAGGAGTCTGTGGAGACAAAGAACTTTGTCCTTGGAGCAAAGAGGGGAATGTATGAGAGTATAGTTTTACCAACGCTCTTATATGGGTGTGAAGCATGGGTGATGAATGTTGCAGCGAGGAGAAGGCTGGAGGCAGTGGAGATGTCATGTCTGAGGGCAATGTGTGGTGTGAATATAATGCAGAGAATTCGTTGTTTGGAAGTTAGGAGGAGGTGCGGGATTACCAAACTGTTGTCCAGAGGGCTGAGGAAGGGTTGTTGAGGTGGTTCGGACATGTAGAGAGAATGGAGCGAAACAGAATGACTTCAAGAGTGTATCAGTCTGTAGTGGAAGGAAGGCGGGTAGGGGTCGGCCTAGGAAAGGTTGGAGGGAGGGGGTTAAGGAGGTTTTGTGTGCGAGGGGCTTGGACTTCCAGCAGGCATGCGTGAGCGTGTTTGATAGGAGTGAATGGAGACAAATGGTTTTTAATACTTGACGTGCTGTTGGAGTGTGAGCAAAGTAACATTTATGAAGGGGTTCAGGGAAACCGGCAGGCCGGACTTGAGTCCTGGAGATGGGAAGTACAGTGCCTGCGCTCTGAAGGAGAGGTGTTAATGTTGCAGTTTAAAAACTGTAGTGTAAAGCATCCTTCTGGCAAGACAGTGATGGAGTGAATGATGGTGAAAGTTTTTCTTTTTCGGGTCACCCTGCCTTGGTGGGAATCGGCCAGTGTGATAATAATAAAAAATAACTTCATTAACCCTTTGAGGGTTTTGGTCGTACTAGTACGTCTTACGTGTAGGGTTTTTTGACGTACTAGTACGCATAAATTCTAGCGGCCTCAAATCTCGCGCAAAAAGGCTGGTAGGCCTAGGTGTGAGAGAATGGGTCTGCGTGGTCGGTGTGCGCGGTAGAAAAAAAATCTGGGACCCAGTGGTGCATTGTGGGAATGCCCTCTTAGTAAACAATGTCCACCATGCCTCGCGGTAAGAAGGTCCTCACTCCTCTGCGAATTGGGACACTTTTGTTCCCCAGTGACAGTTCTAATAGTGATGGAAGTGCCAGTGAAGATGAGTTTCGTGGTTTTAGTGAGGTTTTGACCGAAACTAATGCCATAATATCGGTAATAGTGAGGAAAAACCCAGACGACCCTCAGCCTTCCACCTCTGTGCTGGGCCCTCTTGTTCACGTTCAGTTGTTCCAGAACCCAAGAGGAAACTTCTATTTTCCAAATCCCAGACTCAGATGAGAGCATGGGTGATGATAGTGATAGTGAATATGAACTACAAGCTCTTCAAACTAGTTCCAGTAGTGATAGTGAAGTGCAATATTCCCCAGTGAAGCGTCAGTATATACGACGATATATGCGCTCTGGTAGTGTGCCATATGTTATACCAAGGTGAAGGAGTGTATCTCGGAGTACATCCCATGGCTGTACAACAGGAACAGACAGTGAAAATGACGAAGATACTGTTGCAATTGGGATGGAAAATGTGCGTGGTGGTAGTGGTGCCGGCGGTGAGGCACCAGCAGTGGGCCATGCTGCCATCCACGCTGCCACCCACGCCGCTGCCTCAGCTGATCTAGAACAAAGGCCACTATCCCCCACTCACCCACCACACCAGCCTCCACAACCACAACCTCCACAACCACAACCACCTGTCATTGTCCAGTACCCACCAGCAGACCGCACCTGGGATTGGCAGGAAGCTGTCAATTTTGTTCCAAATCCCCACCAGTTTGATGACAGCCAAAGTGGAATATGGCCATCTTGTGCACTTGGGAACAATGCCACTGAACTGGAATGTTTCGAGTTATTCTTTGACGAACCACTGATGAAAAGTTTTGTCATGGAAAGCAACACATACTACGAGTACACCATGGCAAACACATTACTTTCACCAAAATCACGTCTACACCAGTGGAAGGAGGCAACTGTGGCTGAGATGTATCTTTTCTTTGCCACAATAATGCTTATGCCACATGTGTATAAGCACAAAGTGAAATCATACTGGTCAACAGACCCCCTGATTGCAACACCAGGTTTCAGTGATATAATGCCAGTGAATCGATTTGTGCTAATGTTACGTATGCTTCACTTCTCAGATAAAACCAGGCCTGACAGAACTGACAGGTTATATAAGATTAGGAATGTGTTTGTGTATCTGAAACAGAAATTCAGTACGCATTTTTATCCTTCAGGAAGCTTGTAATTGACGAGTCTTTGATTCTGTTCAAAGGAAGACTCTCTTTCAAGCAGTACATATCAAGCAAGAGGAAACGCTTTGGTATAAAGTTGCACAAATAACCCGCACATAAAAGACAGAAGCTTACGACGACGTTTCGGTCGATTGGACATTACAAAGTCACACAGTGTGACTTTGTACATGGTCCAAGTGGACCGAAACGTCGTCGTAACTTCTGTCTTTTATGTGGGGTATTTGTGTATCGTTCCAGTCACGGATGTGCTTCTTGCTATTATGTAAAAGTTGTTAGTGCTTTGTGATTGGTTACAGTGGTCTGTATTGATATTTTGTGTACACTGGAAGTTATACATTGCAAAATACGGAAGTTATGGCACTCAGGTGATTGGTTCGAACATGATGAACCATACCATTGGTAAGGGGCATATTATATCAGAAATGGTACACATAGCCCCACTCAGTGATTTTTTGCGCAGTGACATAAGATGTGTGTGGCACAGTGCGTGCAATCGGAACATTGCCAGGTTTGAGCTGGCACCGTAGAGGTGAGGTGCGGCGTTTGCTGCCAATGACATCATGGCATTTCGGTGGCATGACAAACGAGATGTCACACTGTTGTCATCAATTCACCCTAATGAAATGGCAGACAGTGGCAGGCAGCATAGAGAGAGAAATGAACCCATTCTAAAACCTGCAGCTGTGATTGATTACACCTTCAACATGCGTTCAGTGGACAAATGTGACATGCAGATTGGGTTTGCTGATTGTGTTCGCAAGAGTTATAAGTGGTACATCAGACTGTTTTTCCATCTTCTGGACATTTCCATGCTCAATGCTTATAATATGTATAAGATGAGCACCAGAAACAAACCACAGTATGGCGAATTCTGTTTGTCTGTCATCAGACAAATAGTATTCAAGTACCAAGGAACAGCACCTGCAATTGACCGCCCACCAAATTTTCAACAACTACCTGCTGTCTGAAGCATGGTGATCACTTCCTGGTAAAACTGCCTGCTTACTGCTTTGAAGAAAAAAGGCTCAGAAGAGGTGTTAGTCTGTGCACATACAAAAAAACGCACACAAACGCAGAGACACTCGTTTTATGTGTGAGGAGTGTAAAACTCCACTGTGCATGACAACATGTTTCAAAGAGTTCCACAGGCTGCAGAACTTCTAGAAACATTCCCTGTGACTATATATGTGTATATAAAATATAGAAAAATAGTAATAAACAACATTTCATATCGTTTGTTTGTGTAAATATTTTCTGTAAACAAAATAATGACAACAGTGTTTACGCCCTTATTGTGTAGTATTGAAAAAGAAATAACTTACAAAATACTGATCATGTTGGCCTCAGAGGCCATAAAAGTTACTCAGAAAAAGAAAAATTGAAAAATAATTGAAAATAGTACATAAAAAAGTAAATAGAAAAATACCGGGTGATGGCAGTCGGCGATGTTACCATATGTTGTTCAATTTTGGCAAATTTCACGCCTCCATATCTCGGTAAGTATTGACGTTAAAATTTTTTTGTTTAGCCTATAATGTTTAGAAAAAAAAAACTATTTTTTCATAAGAAAAAATACAGTGGAACCCCGCTTAACGATCATCTCCCAATGCGACCAATTATGTAAGTGTATTTATGTAAGTGCGTTTGTACGTGTATGTTTGGGGGTCTGAAATGGACTAATCTACTTCACAATATTCCTTATGGGAACAAATTCGGTCAGTACTGGCACCTGAACATACTTCTGGAATGAAAAAATATCGTTAACCGGGGGTCCACTGTAATTTTTTTTTTTTTTTTGAAATTTGGCTGACCCTGAGAACGAGTTTCGGAGAGGGCCTGTCGACCCTCAAAGGGTTAATGGAAGTTCATTGATGTTCACTAGATAAACACCCCACTCGTAGGGGGATGACACTTATGACCACATTTGTGGCTGACTTGGACCACTAACTGTGACACTGTTATAGATTATGACCCCGAAGAGGACAGAAAGGCAACACGTATAGCAGAAAGGGCCGAGGCTAAGAGGCGCCGGCTGGAAATGAAGCAGTGCGAGAGAGAACGAGAGAAAGAACTGAAGAAGATGAAGAAAAAGGAGGAAAAAGCTGAAGTACAGAGACGCAAAGCTATTTTAAGGAAAGAATGTAAGAAGAGAAGGCGGAAGAGAAGAGGTAATTACCTATTTATTACCTATTTGTAATTACCTATCTGTAATTGCCTAAATGTAATTATCTGTAATTGCCTAAATGTAATTACCTATCTGTAATTACCTATCTAATTGCCTATCCATAATTACCTATCTGTAATAACCTATCTGTAATTACCTATCTGTAATTGCCTATCCATAATTACCTATCTGTAATAACCTATCTGTAATTACCTATCTGTAATTGCCTATCTGTAATTGCCTATCCATAATTACCTATCTGTAATTACCTGTCTGTAATTACCTATTTGTAATTGCCTATCTGTAATTGCCTGTCTGTAATTGCCTGTTTATAATTGCCTATCAGTAATTGCCTATCTGTAATTGCCTATCTGTAATTATCTATCTGTAATTGCCTATCTGTAATTGTTTATCTGTAATTGCCTATCTGTAATTGCCTATCTGTAATTACATATCTGTAATTACCTATCTGTAATTGCCTATCAGTAATTACCTATCTGTAATTACTTATCTGTAATTGCCTATCTGTAATTATCTATCCATAATTACCTATCTGTAATTGTTTATCTGTAATTGCCTATCTGTAATTGCCTATCTGTAATTACATATCTGTAATTACCTATCTGTAATTGCCTATCAGTAATTACCTATCCATAATTACCTATCTGTAATTGCCTATCTGTAATTACCTATCTGTAATTACCTATCCATAATTGCCTATCTGTAATTACCTGTCTATAATTACTTATTTTTTAGCTATAAGAGCAGAGCTATGCTTGTGGTGTCCCATCTTCAGTGATTTGTTCATAATATAGTTTTTTGCAAATTTCCTATGCATGCTCACCTATGTGTGGTTGCAGAGGTCAAGTCACAGATCTTGGCCCAGCCTCAAGACTATATTGTGTCCGCTTATAAATTATTCCATTGATTAACCACACTGCTTGTTAAGTAAAACTTTCTAGTGTCCCTTTGGAATAAATCTGAGTGTATATCTGTACATCTGTGAGTGTATGTCTGTGTCTGTACATCTTTGAGTGTGTGTCTGTGTGTGTACATTTAACCCTTTCAGGGTCGGCAGGCCCTCTCCTAAACTTGTTTTCACGGTTGGAAATTTTTCGAAAAAAAAAAATTATTTTTTCTTATGAAATGATAGAGGAACTTTTCTTGATCATAATGACACCAAAAGTATGAAATTTGATGGAAAACTTACGGAATTATGCTTTCGCGAAGTTAGCGGTCTCGACGATGTTTACTCATTGGCGATTTTGCCCACTTTGAACCCCATTATCGGTCAATTCCAATGTACCAGTCAACAAAAATAATACCTATTTTGCTAGAACTCCATTTTGTCTATCGAATGAATACAAGAAACCACCCATTTACCGATTTTAACTAACCAATAACGTGGTCAGAAATTGGCAATTTTGCCAATTTCACACAAATTTCAAAAGATGCCAATTTCCAAATAGGGTCCAGAATAAACAAGACAGACATTCCTGGCACTAAAATAACATTTCCTCTGTTGATTACTCATGTCCCCAGGCCTCTGCTACATTTCTTTTGCTTTCCACTTTGAATTTTTATTCTCACAAAAAATAGAAGATTTATGTTATGCAGACTACTGCATTCGTGTAGAAATGGTGTAGAAATGGTATAAATAATGTCAGCGCACTTGTGAACGAATATTAGACTCACCAGCTGTCGTGTATTGGACGCGTGGCATGATTTGTTTATGTTTGAACTTTTGCAAAAATTGAACATTTCTGTTACTTTGAGCTCAATTTCAAGGTACTTTTCATTGTGAAACCAATCAAAATCATCTCAATTTCCATAATATGTCTTCCATTCTATAAAATGAGACCAGGAAAACTAGAATACAACCATAAATAGCATATGAAAATACACTGCAAATTCACTGTTTTAAACCAAAAACACAGAGTTTTTTTTCTCATTATGCACTGTGTGCTGCAGGATTTTTTTTATACTGTGCACACTGACCACATAGACCCATTCTTTCATATGTAGGCCTACCAGCTTTCTCTCGCTAGATTTGAAGCAGCTAGAATTTATGTGTACTAGTACGGCACCAACCCTGAAAGGGTTAAGCATAAGAACAGTAAACTGCTGATTAAGAAGGTAGTTACGTTCCTGAAAATTGCATGGAAGACAAAATCATGTAAAACTGAAGAACTTGTGAGAAAAATAAGGTTATGTTCTTTGAACTCCAAAAATGGCAAACCACTTCTTTTTTTTTTTTTAGTCATTAAATCATAAACAAAATGATGATGCAATTGTAGCTGGTTGTCGAGATGTATTTTGTTTAATGCATTGGTTAAGGCTACAGATGTTACAGATATAATATCTCTTGACTTAAATTGTGGTTGTTGGTGTTTGTTGATGATTCTGAACAGAGTGGAGAGGGATGCTGTGGCCCTACTGGGCTGAGATGGATGGTTGTGGATTGTTTACTGAGGTGGATGATTGAAGCCTTGGCACTAAAGCCGATGGTTGTACGGGAGTAGTGAGAAATTCTGTAATGTGTCTTTGGTCTCTTTTACTCTGCAGTACTTTATACAGCTGATGGCAAAGCATCATGAGTTGCTCTAGGCCTCAGAAGAACATATTCACTATAGTTGTCATTGCTTGTTGATCTGGAAATGTATGGGGAAGGTTGATGTGATCCTGTACAATACCTATGCAATCATACGGCAGACTACCTGATCCTCCACAATACATATGCAAACTTGACAGGCTGTCGCCTGCTATCAGCTGTCACTTGAAAAAAATTAGTAAAATATATATTTTACCAGCTGAGACAATAATTTTTACTAAATAAATATGCCCAGAGTAATACCCATCATAATATAAATGCAAGCAATCCAAGAAAACATGAAAAAAAAATTATAAAATCACAAGGAAAGTTTCTCAGGGTCTGAGCATGTGTTGTTGCTATTGTTGGGTTGAAAGTTGTGATGATCCAAGAGTCATTGTGTCCACCTCTGCTGTGAAATTAACTACCAGAATGCTTTTGCAAATGTAAACTGTTGAGAACATAATAAATTTATTACAGTAAAGGAATATAATAAAATTATCATTTCACTTGCATTTTTGAACAATAAAAATAGCAGCCTGTAGAAGAAGAAGGTTGTGCATTAGTAGCCATTAACCACCTCAACAATAACAACCTAGTTTCTTACAAAATACAAGTGTACCAACTAAACTGATGCACAAATATATATGAAGTAGGTACTATACACATTACATCCAGGTTCCTTTCATTTTTTTTAACCTTTATTATACAAAGGAAGATAAGCAGGGTGTATATGAACACTGACTTCAGCTTATGGGAGCCGCTCTCATGGACACACAGTTCGTATCAACTCTCAATTTGTCTGGTAACATTGTCTCCAGTATCTCAGCACACATGATGCAATTGATATGAAAACACTGCACGTATTGACTGGTGTGCGGGAATCAAATAATTTAATCACATTTGTTAGTGTTCCTGAGGCTCCCAGGGTGATAAACAGTTTATAAACAATGTGTTCTGCAGTGACTCGGAACTTCAAACACTTATCATAGTGGTTCCACAACATTATTCCTTCACTTTTCGTTTACTTTCTACACTTTAATCTGAGTAGTAGGTTGGTAGATAGCAACCACCCAGGGAAGTACTACCGTCCTGCCAGATGACTGTGAAACAGAAACCTGTAACTGTTTTGCATGATGGTAGGATTGCTGGTTTCTTTTTCTGTCTCATAAACACGCTAGATAACAGGGATATCTTGCTACTCCTACTTACACTTTGGTCACACTTCACAGACACGCACATGCATACATATATACATACATCTAGGTTTTTCTCTTTTTTCTAAATAGCTCTTGTTCCTCTTTATTTTTTCTATTGTCCATGGGGAAGAGGAAAAGAATCTTTCCTCCGTAAGCCATGCGTGTCGTATGAGGCGACTAAAATGCCGGGAGCAATGGGCTAGTAACCTCTTCTCCTGTAGACTTTTACTAAAAAAGAGAAGAAGAAAAACTTTATAAAACTGGGATGCTTAAATGTGCATGGATGTAGTGCGGATGACAAGAAACAGATGATTGCTGATGTTATGAATGAAAAGAAGTTGGATGTCCTGGCCCTAAGCGAAACAAAGCTGAAGGGGGTAGGGGAGTTTCGGTGGGGGGAAATAAATGGGATTAAATCTGGAGTATCTGAGAGAGTTAGAGCAAAGGAAGGGGTAGCAGTAATGTTGAATGATCAGTTATGGAAGGAGAAAAGAGAATATGAATGAGTAAATTCAAGAATTATGTGGATTAAAGTAAAGGTTGGATGCGAGAAGTGGGTCATAATAAGCGTGTATGCACCTGGAGAAGAGAGGAATGCAGAGGAGAGAGAGAGATTTTGGGAGATGTTAAGTGAATGTATAGGAGCCTTTGAACCAAGTGAGAGAGTAATTGTGGTAGGGGACCTGAATGCTAAAGTAGGAGAAACTTTTAGAGAGGGTGTGGTAGGTAAGTTTGGGGTGCCAGGTGTAAATGATAATGGGAGCCCTTTGATTGAACTTTGTATAGAAAAGGGTTTAGTTATAGGTAATACATATTTTAAGAAAAAGAGGATAAATAAGTATACAAGATATGATGTAGGGCAAAATGACAGTAGTTTGTTGGATTATGTATTGGTAGATAAAAGACTGTTGAGTAGACTTCAGGATGTACATGTTTATAGAGGGGCCACAGATATATCAGATCACTTTCTAGTTGTAGCTACACTGAGAGTAAAAGGTAGATGGGATACAAGGAGAATAGAAGCATCAGGGAAGAGAGAGGTGAAGGTTTATAAACTAAAAGAGGAGGCAGTTAGGGTAAGATATAAACAGCTATTGGAGGATAGATGGGCTAATGAGAGCATAGGCAATGGGGTCGAAGAGGTATGGGGTAGGTTTAAAAATGTAGTGTTAGAGTGTTCAGCAGAAGTTTGTGGTTACAGGAAAGTGGGTGCGGGAGGAAAGAGGAGCGATTGGTGGAATGATGATGTGAAGAGAGTAGTAAGGGAGAAAAAGTTAGCATATGAGAAGTTTTTACAAAGTAGAAGTGATGCAAGGAGGGAAGAGTATATGGAGAAAAAGAGAGAGGTTAAGAGAGTGGTGAAGCAATGTAAAAAGAGAGCAAATGAGAGAGTGAGTGAGATGTTATCAACAAATTTTGTTGAAAATAAGAAAAAGTTTTGGAGTGAGATTAACAAGTTAAGAAAGCCTAGAGAACAAATGGATTTGTCAGTTAAAAATAGGAGAGGAGAGTTATTAAATGGAGAGTTAGAGGTATTGGGAAGATGGAGGGAATATTTTGAGGAACTGTTAAATGTTGATGAAGATAGGGAAGCTGTGATTTCGTGTATAGGGCAAGAGGAATAACATCTTGTAGGAGTGAGGAAGAGCCAGTTGTGAGTGTGGGGGAAGTTCGTGAGGCAGTAGGTAAAATGAAAGGGGGTAAGGCAGCCGGGATTGATGGGATAAAGATAGAAATGTTAAAAGCAGGTGGGGATATAGTTTTGGAGTAGTTGGTGCAATTATTTAATAAATGTATGGAAGAGGGTAAGGTACCTAGGGATTGGCAGAGAGCATGCATAGTTCCTTTGTATAAAGGCAAAGGGGATAAAAGAGAGTGCAAAAATTATAGGGGATAAGTCTGTTGAGTATACCTGGCAAAGTGTATGGTAGAGTTATTATTGAAAGAATTAAGAGTAAGACGGAGAATAGGATAGCAGATGAACAAGGAGGCTTTAGGAAAGGTAGGCGGTGTGTGGACCAGGTGTTTACAGTGAAACATATTAGTGAACAGTATTTAGATAAGGGTAAAGAGGTCTTTGTGGCATTTATGGATTTGGAAAAGGCGTATGACAGGGTGGATAGGGGGGCAATGTGGCAGATGTTGCAGTGTATGGTGTAGGAGGTAGGTTACTGAAAGCAGTGAAGAGTTTTTACGAGGATAGTGAGGCTCAAGTTAGAGTATGTAGGAAAGAGGGAAATTATTTCCCAGTAAAAGTAGGCCTTAGACAAGGATGTGTGATGTCACCGTGGTTGTTTAATATATTTATAAATGGGGTTGTAAGAGAAGTAAATGCGAGGGTCTTGGCAAGAGGTGTGGAGTTAAAAGATAAAGAATCACACATAAAGTGGGAGTTGTCACAGTTGCTCTTTGCTGATGACACTGTGCTCTTGGGAGATTCTGAAGAGAAGTTGCAGAGATTGGTGGATGAATTTGGTAGGGTGTGCAAAAGAAGAAAATTGAAAGTGAATACAGGAAAGAGTAAGGTTATGAGGATAACAAAAAGATTAGGTGATGTAAGATTGGATATCAGATTGGAGGGAGATAGTATGGAGGTGAATGTATTCAGATATTTGGGAGTGGACGTGTCAGTGGATGGGTCTATGAAAGATGAGGTGAATCATAGAATTGATGAGGGGAAAAGGGTGAGTGGTGCACTTAGGAGTCTGTGGAGACAAAGAACTTTGTCCTTGGAGGCAAAGAGGGTAATGTATGAGAGTATAGTTTTACCAACGCTCTTATATGGGTGTGAAGCATGGGTGATGAATGTTGCAGCGAGGAGAAGGCTGGAGGCAGTGGAGATGTCATGTCTGAGAGCAATGTGTGGTGTGAATATAATGCAGAGAATTCGTTGTTTGGAAGTTAGGAGGAGGTGCAGGATTACCAAAACTGTTGTCCAGAGGGCTGAGGAAAGGTTGTTGAGGTGGTTCGGACGTGTGGAGAGAATGGAGCGAAACAGAATAACTTCAAGAGTGTATCAGTCTGTAGTGGAAGGAAGGCGGGGTAGGGGTCGGCCTAGGAAAGGTTGGAGGGAGGGGGTAAAGGAGGTTTTGTGTGCGAGGGGCTTGGACTTCCAGCAGGCATGCGTGAGCGTGTTTGATAGGAGTGAATGGAGACAAATGGTTTTTAATACTTGACGTGCTGTTGGAGTGTGAGCAAAGTAACATTTATGAAGGGGTTCAGGGAAACCGGCAGGCCGGACTTGAGTCCTGGAGATGGGAAGTACAGTGCCTGCACTCTGAAGGAGGGGTGTTAATGTTGCAGTTTAAAAACTGTAGTGTAAAGCACCCTTCTGGCAAGACAGTGATGGAGTGAATGATGGTGAGAGTTTTTCTTTTTCGGGCCACCCTGCCTTGGTGGGAATCGGCCAGTGTGATAATAAATAAAATAAAAATACTTTAATATCATTCATTAACACATTTAACATTTGTGTAAATACAGCTAGGGTAAGTGAATGGCTGTAAATTATATAAGAAGGTGCATTTTCAGTGAAATTAGTAGATACTAACCTTCTTATATGCGATTTTAAAGATAAAGATTTTATTTCTTTGCCAAGGTTACAATGTGTAATTACAATTTTGATTTGTTAAGCACTAAGAAAGCTGCTATCATACCGGAGCATTTTTCATCTAGAGGTGCACCGTCTTAGATGAATTTCACGATGCTCAGTAATATGCTGCAATTTTGCAGTAGTGTATTGTTGAATGCGTGTTAGAGGATTGCACATTAGTCAACAGTCTACTGTACATATTAGAAAACGTTTTGGTCCTGGAACCTCAATTGCTTCTAACTGAAATGTTTTGTCTTAGTGGTTAAGAAAATAAGAATGGTGGAACACTGTAGCAGGCCTACTGGCCCATACTAGGCAGGCCTTTCTCAAAACTAACCATTAAGAACATAAGAATGGAAGAATACTGCAGCAGGCCTGCTGGCCTATACATAAGAACATAAGAATGGAGGAACACTGTAACAGGCCTACTGGTCCAGCCTAGGCAGGTCCTTCTCAAAACCAACCATTCCTACCCACCTATTTGTCCAACCTTTTTCCCAAATGTTGCCCAAGAATTTGCTTTAGTACCAAGTTTGCTCATATTTTTTTTTTAAACCACTAGCTGGTATCAAGGTTTATACCATTCAAGACTGAAGTTTTTTCAGAAGGTTTACCAGTTTTTATTTACAGGTGTTAAACAAGATGAAGATTTCTCCGAGACAGACAACATAAATCTGGAAGTTGTGCAGAAAACTTGTGTCGGCACAAGGAGAAAAATTAAAAGGAAAGCTAAAATAAGAAGACCAGTGAAGAGACGACAGATGGAGAGACGGTGAGCATTTGTTTGTTTTTATACATTTAAAGTCAGGTAAGAATATCTGAAACAAACTACGGAACCGATGGGGCTTGAACCTCTGGCCAGTGAGTCCTAAAACTCCAGGTCAGTGAATGTTAATAAATGGTTCAGAAAACTGGCAAGTTTATAAACTAGATACATGTGCAACACTTGGGTATCTTTATAAGCCACCTCTCCACACACATGCTGTATTCTTTTCAAGATTGATGGATTGATTACATTGACTCCAGGTTGAGGGAATGATTACCTCAAACTCCTTTTGATCTTCACCATTCTTTTGTGTATAGGACTGATGAAGCCACTGCGTGGCGAAACATTTCCTCAATAAAGGTATCTAGGTCAGAGCCATAAGTTCATGCCCCACCCATTCTGTGGTTTGTTTACAATCATGTTATTATCAAACCATACCCCCGGCCGGGATTGAACCCGCGGTCATAGAGTCTCAAAACTCCAGCCCGTCGCGTTAGCCACTAGACCAGCTGGTCTAGTGGCTAACGCGACGGGCTGGAGTTTTGAGACTCTATGACCGCGGGTTCAATCCCGGCCGGGGGTATGGTTTGTTTGCAATCGTGTCATTACGATTTCTTAAGTCATCATGTTATTATGTTTTTGTGAGTCATAAGGATCTTTGATGTCCCTCTGATGAGTTTCAAGAGTTTTGCTTCCCCAGCAGCCTAACCCCAGGCCAGGCTTCTGTGACGCTTCAGCCTCGAAGAAGTGATAAAGATGAAGATAGAGTGTTTGTGTGTTTTAATATAAACATTAGGGTCCCAAGTTATGGTGTTGCAGCATAAGGTGATTTATTTTATGAATATGGTCCAGAAGTCACGATATTGAGAAAATAATTGTTTTAGAAAAGTTGATATGCAGTTACAAACATGTGTGATACACAACCATCATTTTTACTAACGTTGTCTAGGAGATAACAATGTCAGGGTTATGTATGATTTGTGTGTAAGTTGAAACACCAAGGTTGTATTTTATTTGCAGTTTGTGGAATACAGTAATGTATAATGTCTAGTACGAAACTTTACAGTTGACTACACTTGTTATAGTACATTACTTTGTTGTAGTACATGACCTTGTTGTAGTACATGACCTTGTTGTAGTACATGACCTTGTTGTAGTACATGACCTTGTTGTAGTACATAACCTTGTTGTAGTACATGACCTTGTTGTAGTACATGACCATGTTGTAGTACATGACCATGTTGTAGTACATAACCTTGTTGTAGTACATGACCTTGTTGTAGTACATGACCTTGTTGTAGTACATGACCTTGTTGTAGTACATGACCATGTTGTAGTACATGACCATGTTGTAGTACATAACCTTGTTGTAGTACATGACCTTGTTGTAGTACATGACCTTGTTGTAGTACATGACCTTGTTGTAGTACATAACCTTGTTGTAGTACATGACCTTGTTGTAGTACATGACCTTGTTGTAGTACATGACCATGTTGTAGTACATGACCATGTTGTAGTACATGACCTTGTTGTTGTACATGACCTTGTTGTTGTACATGACCATGTTGTAGTACATGACCTTGTTGTACATGACCTTGTTGTTGTACATGACCATGTTGTAGTACATGACCTTGTTGTTGTACATGACCTTGTTGTTGTACATGACCATGTTGTAGTACATGACCTTGTTGTTGTACATGACCATGTTGTAGTACATGACCTTGTTGTAGTACATGACCTTGTACATGACCTTGTTGTGTGACCAGTGTTGGTCAAGTGCTTCTTTCAGTGTATTAATCACATCGTATATTTATAAATATTTTAGAAACTCGCTTGTGATAAGTGAAGTGACTGTTACCATGGAGACAGTGAAGTATGAAACACCAAGAAATCTCAATGCCGAGTACATGGTTGAAAGAACAGTCGAAGAACATTCTGAAGCTGAGAGAGATCCCCTGGAAGCAGCCTCTCCTCCTCCAGGATTGCCCATGACTGAAGAACTACCTAGTAAGTGTGCCATCACCACTGATGATGAAAGTGTTTCTTCTAAGTTTGCAGCATCCATGTGTGGATAACATACTATGTTCTAACTTCTATCACAGACCAGTATTCCTTGCTCTCTTTTTTTTCTTGTTCTTGTTACTTTGATTTTGTTTCTATTTTGACTTTGATGCTCAAAACTTTTGAAGACGAGTGACTTTACCTCAATTTTTTTGTGCTACAGGGAGTTTTTGTGTTTTCAGAGTTTGACAACACCCAAAACATGTGGCACTTCCCAGTGTCAGCCATCCAGACCCAGGAGGATGGGTGTCAGACTATCCTGGTGCCAACAGCAGATGGTCATAAGATAGTGCCAGTGCCAGTACTGCCCCCGGGGACGTCTAACGTACTTGTTGTAGCCACGGAGGCCCCAGACTTGCCCGGGGAACAAATATATCATGTTTATGTTGTTTCTCCTGTTGAAGGAAACCAGTCGTAGTAAAGCCCTCAGGGTATCATGACACTCTTTAGAAAGAGAGAATTTGTTTTTGCAATAGAGGTGTGCTGATATTTCAGTTCAGAGGACCCTCTGAACTGTAACATCCTCACTTATCTTCCAGAGTACAGGCACTGTACTTCTCACCTCTAGAACTGTAACAGCCTCACTTATCTTCCAGAGTACAGGCACTGTACTTTCCACCTCTAGAACTGTAACAGCCTCACTTATCTTCCAGAGTACAGGCACTGTACTTCCCACCTCTAGAACTGTAACAGCCTCACTTATCTTCCAGAGTACAGGCACTGTACTTCCCACCTCTAGAACTGTAACAGCCTCACTTATCTTCCAGAGTACAGGCACTGTACTTCCCACCTCTAGAACTGTAAACAGCACTTCAAACTTATCTTCCAGAGTACAGGCACTGTACTTCCCACCTCTAGAACTGTAACAGCCTCACTTATCTTCCAGAGTACAGGCACTGTACTTCCCACCTCCAGAATTCAAGTTTGGCTAACTTCCCTAAGGTTGAGGGAAGAAATACATTAATCTTTGGGATATACCTTGCTAGATAGCTACTAAGGAATCTTCAGTGCAGTGGAAGAATAAGTTTGATCAACAATTTGTCTTGTTTGTGGAGAGTGTTGTGATATCCAGTCTTCAGGAAATTTGTGTAATGTTGGTCATATAATATATATTAAGGTATATGATGTATGGCTTATATCAGGAGTGTTCTTATGTGTAAATATTTGATTATACTGTACTTGAAAATATACAGAATACAGTCCATATAAGGACACCTTATTAGCCCAAATGTGATAGTATGTTATAAGAGAATCTTCAGTGGTGTGGGATATACTAAGTCATCACTTATTATCCTCTCATCGGATAGTTGCCTTTCAGCATTATGTGGCGATCCTGTTTGATCCAGCATTTTTTTTAACCACTGCCATTTCCCACTGAGGCAGGGTGACCCAAAATGAAAGAAAAAACTTTAATCATCATTCAACACTTTCACCATCACTCATACATAATCACTGTCTTTGCAGAGGTGCTCAGATACAACAGCTTAGACGTCCCTCCAAACTACCAATATCCCAAACCCCTCCTTTAAAATGCAGGCATTGTACTTCTTATTTCCAGGACTCAAGTCCAGATAACCAGTTTCAATGAATCTCTTCACAAAATATTACCTTGCTGACACTCCAACAGCTCGTCAGGTCCCAAAAACCATTTGTCTCCATTCACTCCTATCTAACATGCTCATGCACACCCGCTGGAAATCCAAGCCCCTTGCCCACAAAACCTCCTTTACCCCTATCCCTCCAGCCTATCTGACGACCCTTACCCCACCTTCCTTCCCCTACAAATTTATACGCTCTCCAAGTCATTCTACTTTGTTCCATTCTCTCTAAATGACCAAACCACCTCAACAACCCCTCTTCAGCCCTCTGACTAATACTTTTAGTAACGTCACAGCTCCTAATTTCCACACTACAAATTCTCTGCATAATATCAGCACCACACATTGCCCTTAGACAGGACATCTCCACTGCCTCCAGCTGCCTCGTCACTGCAGCATTTACAACCCATGCTTCACACCCATAAGTGTTGGTATCACTATGCTCTCGTACATTCCCTTCTTTCCCTCCATGGATAACGATTTTTTGTCTCCACATATACCTCAATGCACCATTCACCTTTATTCCTTCATCAATTCTATGGTTAACCTCGTTTTTCATAAACCCATCCACTGACACGTCAACTCCCAAATATCTGAAAGCAGTCACTTCTTCCATACTCCCTCCCTCCAATGTGATATCCAGTTTTTCTTTATCTAAATCGTTTGATACCCTCTTCACCTTACTCTTATCTATATTCACTTTCAACTTTCTACTTTTACACACCCTTCCAAACTTGTGCACTAACCTTTGCAGCTTTTCTTTAGAATCCCCCAAAAGCATAGTATCATCAGCAAAAAGTAACTGTGTCAACTCCCATTTTGTATTTGATTCCCCATAATTTAATCCCACCCCTCTCCCCAACACCTTAGCATTTGATCCAGCATGTCGACAGGTAATGCAGAGAAGGTGGCCATGAAATTGAGGAACCTCAAAAAAATAATATAACCATGGAATATTGTTTGAATCCCAATGCACCATTGTCCCCAGTACTGCAAACTTGATGACCCACTCTATTGAAAACTAAAATTTTTGTGCATGTAATATATAACATTGTATATAGCATGACATGCTTGTATGTTATTATTAGTGGTCCTGAATGAGGTCTTGTATGAGGATACTCTTTGTATAGTGCCTGAAGGAAGAACAGTCGCAGTACTGTAGCTAGAAGAATATACAAGTAACTCCTAATCACAACACTCAAACTTATAATGACTGTTGGTCTGACTTGCACCTGAAATGTCCTCATAAGTTGTGATCTCTGAGTTATTTGTGTAAATTGTCTGAGTTATAGCCAGAGTATTGTTTTATTGTGCGATGAGAGAGTTAGTTTAGGTAGGGAAGCTGGGATGTTGTCTAAGGTGTTGTGGATAGTAAGGTGACAACAGTGTTGTTGTAGATAGTAAGGTGACAACAGTGTTGTTGTAGATAGTAAGGTGACAACATTGTTGTAGATAGTAAGGTGACAACAGTGTTCCTGTGGATAGTAAGGTGACAACAGTGTTCCTGTGGATAGTAAGGTGACAACAGTGTTCCTGTGGATAGTAAGGTGACAACAGTGTTGTTGTAGATAGTAAGGTGACAACAGTGTTGTTGTAGATAGTAAGGTGACAACAGTGTTCCTGTGGATAGTAAGGTGACAACAGTGTTCCTGTGGATAGTAAGGTGACAACAGTGTTGTTGTAGATAGTAAGGTGACAACAGTGTTGTTGTAGATAGTAAGGTGACAACAGTGTTCCTGTGGATAGTTCAACAGTGTTCGTGGAAAGTACAACAGTGTTCTTTGTGGATATAAGGTGACAACAGTGTGTTGTTGTAGATAGTAAGGTGACAACAGTGTTGTTGTAGATAGTAAGGGTGACAACAGTGTTGTTGTAGATAGTTAAGGTGACAACAGTGTTGTTGTAGATAGTAAGGTGACAACAGTGTTGTTGTAGATAGTAAGGTGACAACAGTGTTGTTGTAGATAGTAAGGTGACAACAGTGTTGTTGTAGATAGTAAGGTGACAACAGTGTTGTTGTAGATAGTAAGGTGACAACAGTGTGTTGTAGATAGTAAGGTGACAACAGTGTTGTTGTGATAGTAAGGTGACAACAGTGTTGTTGTAGATAGTAAGGTGACAACAGTGTTGTTGTAGATAGTAAGGTGACAACAGTGTTGTTGTAGATAGTAAGGTGACAACAGTGTTGTTGTAGATAGTAAGGTGACAACAGTGTTGTTGTAGATAGTAAGGTGACAACAGTGTTGTTGTAGATAGTAAGGTGACAACAGTGTTGTTGTAGATAGTAAGGTGACAACAGTGTTGTTGTAGATAGTAAGGTGACAACAGTGTTGTTGTAGATAGTAAGGTGACAACAAGTGTTTGTTGGTCAATACAGGTGGAGAAATAATTCCTGATGTTCAGTGTTAGTTATGACACAGTGGAGTGTTCAGTAATATAACTGAGATATTGCACTAACACTAGTGTTAGTTACAGTGATACTCTCAGTGGAATTTCTAATAACTGAATACCTTCCACTGGTTTACCTGTACATAGATAAATTAACTTACCCAGAGATGTAACAAACTGTATTTTATATTAACCCGTAAACGGTCCAAACGTATATATACGTTTTTTCAACATTTGATAGTATGTAAAAAAAGTAGATCATCTTTTTTTTTTTTTACATTTGAATATGTGTAAAAAAAATCTTGATCTACGTTTTTTTTTTTGTTATATTTGAAACTATGTAAAAAAAAAAACGTAGAAAATGTGTAAAAAAATCTTGGTCTACGTTTTTTTTTTGTTTGAAAATATGTAAAAAACAACGTAGATCTACTTTTGGAGCACTACGCATGTGAACGTAGATCTGCTTGGACCGTTTACGGGTTAATTGATTTGTTTCATGCAAGATACTTGTGAGGAAGAATTGTATCATACAACACTGTTACTATCATATAACACTGTTACTATCATACAACACTTACTATCATACAACACTTATATCATACAACATTATATCATATAACACTTACAATCATACACACTTATATCATATAACACTACAATCATACACACTTACTATCATATAACACTGTTATATCATACAAACACTTACTATCATATAACACTTACAATCATACAACACTTACTATCATATAACACTGTTACTATCATACAACACTTACTATCATATAACACTTACAATCATACAACACTGTTACTATCATATAACACTGTTACTATCATACAACACTTACTATCATATAACACTTACAATCATACAACACTGTTACTATCATATAACACTGTTACTATCATACAACACTTACTATCATATAACACTTACAATCATACAACACTGTTACTATCATATAACATGTTACTATCATACAACACTTACTATCATATAACACTTACAATCATACAACACTGTTACTATCATATAACACTGTTACTATCATACAACACTTACTATCATATAACACTTACAATCATACAACACTGTTACTATCATATAACACTGTTACTATCATACAACACTTACTATCATATAACACTGTTACTATCATACAACACTTACTATCATATAACACTTACAATCATACAACACTGTTACTATCATATAACACTGTTACTATCATACAACACTTACTATCATACAACACTTACTATCATATAACACTTACAATCATACAACACTTACTATCATACAACACTGTTACAATCATACAACACTTACTATCATATAACACTGTTACTATCATACAACACTTACTATCATATAACACTTACAATCATACAACACTATTACTATCATACAAAACTTATCATACAACACTGTTACTATCATACAACACCTCAGTCAAGTCCTAGACACTCATACAGCAGCTAGTCAGATTTTACCAGCAATATTTTTAACGCAACTGTCAAGAATAACTTGTACCATAACGACTGTCAAGAATAACATGTAGCATAACTTGTACCAGAATAACTGTCAAGAATAACTTTATTAAGTTAATAAATCGTTTTTTGTTTGTTTGTTTTAATGATAAAAAAGTTGGATTTTTTCTTTCATATTTATTGTTTTAAAA